GCTGGGAGGACAGGCTGGGAGAGCTGGGGCTGTTCAGCCGGGGGAGGAGAAGGCTGCGGGGAGACCTCGGAGCAGCTGCCAGTGCCTGGAGGGCTTGTAAGAAAGATGGGGACAGACTTTTTAGCAGGGCCTGTTACAACAGGGCAAGGAGTAATGGTTTTAAACTAAAAGAGGGTAGATTTAGACTGGGTATAACACATTTTTGACAATGAGGGTGGTGAAGCCCTGGCACAGGTTGCCCAGAGAAGCTGTGGATGGCCTGCTCCCTGGAACGGCCAGGTTGGACGGGGCTCTGAGCAGCCTGATCTGGCTGAAGATGTCCCTGCTCACTGCAGGGGGGTCGGACTGGGTGGCCTTTAAAGGTTCCTTCCAACCCAAACCATTCTGTGATTCTATGAACCTGCTGGAGCAGTAAGGCTTCCCAGGGCAGGCCAGTGACTTGCATTACAGGCTGGGCAAATTGATCAGATCTGCCACTTTGTTTAAAAAAAAAAACATATAGGGAAAATAATACTGGTGCAACAAAATGGAAAGAGCCACAGACAATGGATTATAAAAGAATCTAAACGTTCCTTCTCCATTCGAAACACCAACACAGGCTGGCAGAGAAATACCTCCCGTCTGCCCTGCGTCCTGCAGCACAGGACACGCACTGGTGAGAACGCGCGCGGTGCTCCCATCCTTGCGCACTGGAACTTTCCTCCCTGTGTAGCACATTCAAAAGAAAACACTTTAATGGATGGCAGCTGAGACGAGATAGATGACCACGTTATAAATCTGTCTCCCAGCTGCAACGCCGAAGCACGGAGAAGGCGTTTCGGCTGGCAGCGGCAAAGACAGGGAGTGATGGATTGCTTGCTAATCCATCTGCTCTTAGATTTGCTCTCCAATATAAAATACTATTTTAATAAAGTGCTATTAGCTCATAACTCACTCAGTGTCACGGAGAGGAGATAACCTCAGCCCGAGGTTGCCATCCCAGATCCCTGCACGGAGCGTTAACAGACGGCTAGCTGGGTGCCACCTCCCCAGGGCCATCACTCACCCGGCGAGCTGACAGCAAACCAAACTCACTGACGAGGCTGGCAGGGGTGACGGAGACCCCGCATTTAAATCTTTGATGAGGCAGGAGCTGAACGAGGACAGTGACAGGAGGCCTTTTTTCTCCTCCCCTGTTGCATTCCACACGAGCAGCAGCGGCGACAGCAACCGGCGCAGCCGCCCCGCGGGCAGCAAGGCGCGAAGTCACCCAGCCGCCGGCTCAGAGCGACGCGCGCAGCGAGAGGGACAAGGAGGCTTGTTTCAAGGGCAGGATTTAGGGAGCTGGTAGCAACAGTGCCTGGGGCAGATCGAGAGAGGCTTCACCAGTCCAACAGCCCACGGCACATGACGTGAAGGAAGGATGAGTGGTGTGCAAGTGTGCAAGAATGGATGGAGAACTCTATTTCCCGCGGAAATAAAAAATGAGATGCCAACGCTGAGAAAAGCAGCGCCTTCAAGCCTGGCAGCTTCTGTCGATCCAGGCTGCGCCAAGACTGAGCAGGCGCAGAGCTGCAGAGCGCGTCAGCTACCCGCGTTCCCACGCCACTAACCAGATGCTGAGCCCAAACAGTGGGACAATTTGGCTGGAACCTGCCCCACCAGCTCCCAAAACACTGTTGGGGAAGAACAAATGGCATCAGCTCTTACAAGTGGCAACCCACGCTGCTCTTTCAATGTAGTGGGAAGAGGTGAAAACAACCATGTTGGAAGACTGGACCCAAGCAAAAGAAGATTGGACCCAAGCAAAAGAAGTTGTCCACACCACCTCTGCCACCCCTTACCTGACAGATGTGGCACCCCAAGCCTCCTCAACCCTTCTAAATCAGGCTCATCTCTGGCTTTTCTGCTCCATCTCCTCCGTTTTTCCCAGCCTGGGGGCCACCTCCCTCTCTTCTTCGCAGGTGGGAAGACAAACGTCCATCATCCAGCAGGAGGCTGATAAATGATGCACCCATACTGCTGGCTGGGCGCAGACAGCCCTTCTCCTGCCGCCAAGGGCAGAAGTGATCGTGGACTTTCAGGCATTGTATCAACAGGGATCTCTCAGAACGGGACTGGGGGATGTGCCTGCCCTGCCCAGCTTCTCTGGAAAGGAGGAGGAGAATCCTCTGCGAGTTTCAGACACACAGATGCCGTCACGACCTACCAGGCAGGGGCTGTGGAGGGGGACTGGGGACAGAGAGAAGAAAACAAGTGAGCCCTGAAGCGCTCCGCTCCTGGGACTTCAACGAGCACCAGGGTCACGCAAGAGCCTGCAACCCATTGCTAGCAAAGCATGAAGAGCACAGACGTGCGAAGCTCTGACCAGCAGATTGCTTGAGGACATCCGAGGTGGAGGGAGGCTGAGACACACAGGAGAAGTTCTGTGTATTAAAGAGCCCTCTTCCTAGGAGTAAGTTCCTGGAATAAAGCATAGAAATGGCCCTACTTACCCCTCTCCCACTTTTTCAAGGAAAATAAACTAAAGAAAGCAGAGCATCATCTTCTGCGCTGCGCAAGAAGAGGGAAGAACTTTACCCCTGGGGGTACAGGCAGCACCAGCGAGTGAGCCACACCAGAGCCACTGTCTCTGTACTCACCAGAGCCCCTAAGGCATCCACGCCTTCTCAAGAGCACCCATGTGCCTGTCTTCACGACAATCAGCCCTTTCCATCCTCGTGAAGCCTACACAGGGAAGGACTAGGGGCACCCATCATTAAAAGCCCTTAAAAACTCACCGGGAAGTATTTCCGTACCCAGGCAAACCTGAGAACCCCTTGGGTCAGCCCTATGCTTCTTGCTGCCTTCCCTGCCACAGCAAGAGCCCACTTCCAGCTAATCATCCTCCCAAAGCTGCAGTTAGTCACTGCTGCACGGCAGAAGCACGGACCGTAGCTGCACGACAAGCTCTGCTTCCACGCAGGGGCCTGATGCAATCTGCAGGAGGAATCGCGCGGAACAGCTGAGACAGCAACCACGGTGCCTCTCGCCCAGCTTTACAGCAGGATTCTCGTCCCAGCCACCAGCAACAGCGCGGTCAGACAGCGGAAGGACAAGCCAGAGCACCTTCTCCTCCCCCCAGCAACTTTTGTGCTTCACGGGGATCACTATAAAGAGAGGAAAAGTGTTGCAGGTGCATTTTGCAATTAACCACACAGTGCACAGGCTGCTCCCTCACATCACTCATTAGCAAGGGCTTTTTAGCAGAGAGTGGCTCTGCTTAGCTCCCTTCCCTCTCTTAGGGCTTAACAGAAACATAATTCTAGTAAAATCTTAACAGGAAGGGGAAAGCCTAGCATAGCTAATCCTCCAGTAAGTTGGTGGACTAAAGGACAACTAGACCTAGGCTGAAGGGGAGGAACAAAGGAGCAGCTTCTAAAATGCAGCTTCAAATTCTCCCTTGGCATCCAGGGGAAAATATCAGCAAACTATTCCGAGAGAAGATGGCAGCCCAGCTGCAAGCAGGGGAGGACTGCAGCCTCCAGAACTATTTCTCTCCTGTCCCAGAAGGTCGCCTGCTCCGAGGACCCCGGTGCCCAGCCCTGTTCCGCTCGCATGCTCACACGCTCTTGTCAGCGCGCATCTCTCCAAGCTCGGAAACAACCAGCAGCGAAACGGGCAAAGCGGCGATCGCTGTCAGGTCCTGTCGGAGGAGAACATCTCAGCAAGGTACTCAAGGGCACAGATTTAGGTCAGGCAAACGTGCTCGCACAGTGTAGTTACAGAAGGGGACTCAGAGCAGAGCACAGAGTTCAAATCCAGATCGAACTCAAAAAAAAACCCAACCCAAACAAAAAACCCAAGAGGTTTTCTGACCTGTTTCATACACACACAAACAGAACAGATGTCATCTGATCGAGACAGGCTTGTGCTCATGACTTCACCACGGCACATTTCTCAGTTGTTCCAGAAATGCAGCAGAAGACTGGCGTAGCACGAGCAGCTCGATGGCAGCAGCCAGCAGCACACGAGCCCCTCTCCTCTCTCTCTCCAGTCCATGCTGGACACCCATGTGCCAGACAGACTGACTGAGCCTTGCCTACTCACCTCCTAAGGTGGACAGCTGATGTACTTCGGGGAGGAAATACCGAGGGCTGCTCTCAGACTAGCTCCAGCAGCAAGCACCCGGCCGGAGAAAGCACCCAAAGCACTGTGGGCCGCAGAGTCAGAGCGGACACTTCGCCGAGCAGGGAACCAGCGTTTCCTGCCGCAGCTCGGCAGTGTCCAAAGGGCCACCTCGCATCCCGACGGTGCCGGCTGCTCCACTGCAGTCCAGATAACCTTCTGGGATCCGGGGAGCATCTGCTCTTACTCTACAGTGCTACAGTGGAGGGGGAGAAAAGCTCTCAGGGGCTCGGATCACGTAGCATTTCAGCACTGAGTCATCATGCTCCAGAGCTTGTAGTCCCTTGCAGTGTGCAGCTGCAGGCTGGCTCCCTGGCCACCCTCCAGCAGAGCCGAGCCGAGAGGAGGCAAGGCAGGGGCAGCCACATCACAAGGCAAGTCCCAGTGCTCACCAGCCAAGCCACTGCGGAGCTGTAGCTTCTCCTAAGCGTTGACTCCAACCAGCGGCAGCTGTGAACTGCACCTAATACACCTTTTGTAACACAGTCTGCCCTGAGCCTGTGAAGGGGTGACAAGAAAGCAAGGAGAGATGCCACGCAGAGACATGAGCAAGGACGTACGTCATGGGCAGGATCTGTGGGGAAAAAAAAGGTGAGAAATACCTCTGCTGGAACACAAACCCTACAAAGTTCAATATATGGGAGCAGGAGGCTTGGACAGGCCCTGGGTTCCCACAGGTCCGGGTCACTGGAGCACTCCAGAACAGTGTCAAATGGCTGAAGAGGATCTGGAGTTTGGGCCTCTCCAGCAGGACAGGCCAGACAGACTGACACAGCCAACAGTATTTCAGCAAGGGGGTCCTTTAATACAGTTGCTTCTGCCTTAAACAATGTTTTTCTTCTGGTGCAATTTAAAAACATGAAATCGAAGGCAGACTGAGGCAGTACCCCCTCCCTTGCACCAACGGACACACATCTCAACACACGATTCCACCAAACATCCGCCCAAAAGACCCTCGCAGCTTCCTCCCGTGCCCACTTCCCCACACGCGCTGGTCTGAAGCCTGCAGACTTCTCACACTGGCGTTCCTTTGGGGAAAGGCAGGAGTGGGCTGCTGCCAGCCCCTTTGCTCGCTTCAGCACCCTCCGTTTGCAGCCACTCCATCTTCTGTTTGTGCTGCTGCGCAGCGTCGGCGACCCGGGCATCGATCATGGCCTCTGTAAGAACACCATCCTCTGACGCATAAGCTGCAGCCTGGAAAGGCAAAGGCAGAAGAGACAGAAGTTAGCGCTGGCAATTCCTGGGACCAGGATCCCAAGGTCCCCAAGATCTGAGGCTGGTCCCTCTCTTCTGTTTACTTCTCCACACGTGTTTGCTCCCACACTACCCAGCACAACATCCAGCCTTGTCCCAAGCCAGTGGTGGCACCCAGAGCAACCTGGCGCACCACCGGAAAGGTCTTCCTCGGTGCAGCTGTACCAGGGACTGAAACACATCAGCTGCCCAAGCGCAGAGCAACACTCATGGCTACGCTGAAGTCTTCGTCTCTGAGCCACTAACAAGCACCTCTGCCCGCCCGCCCCGGGATCTTCTGGGGGGTGCAGCAGAGACAAGGCCATAGGTTCCTAACGCTGAACACAGCCGGTGCGCTCAGGCTGCAGTCACACCTGGCTTGTTTACATGCCCTCTCCTGCTTTAAAAGCACTGCATGTTGAAGGTGAAGAGTAACAGGTGCACATGGTGATTGAGTGACTCCAGCCAAGACAACAGAAAACGTTTTAAACACTTCACAGGAGAACTAACATCAGTGCTGGGGTGAATACAGGCAACTGGGCAACTCTGAAATGATGCCTAATGTGCACTACCTTGCTTTCCTCATGCGTTTTGCTAGGAATCTCCCCTGCACCGCTGCTGTGCTGTGTCAGCTCCCCTCCACACTCATCTGCCTGCGGGATCTTCCCTTTTCTCCCCCCTCCATTCACATCCCAGCTCCTGGCTCTCCAGTTCTGCTCGGTACATTAACACTTGGTCCTGTGGCTACTTTGATAGGCAGTACAAATCTGATTATAGTTCCTTGCAGAAAGGGCTTGAAAACTACCGATATGCTTGCCAAACAGACCATAATATTTCCAGTGGCAGCTGGGGGGGAACAGGAC